AACCTTCCTTCTGAGGAGTGGCTGGTGGGTTTGAACCGCCAGCCTTCTGGTTAGCAGTCAAGTGCCTTAGGCACTATGCTACCAGAGCTCCTAAACTAGGTGGGTTCAAACTATCAACCTTTAGGTTAACAGCCAAGGCCTTAATTGTTGAATCACCAGGGCTCCTTCCACAGATATGGAGGATAAGGATTCCAACACATATTTGGAGGGGGCGGGGAACACAACTCAATCACTAAGAACTGGGAATTATAAAGGAAACAAAGGATCTGATACTAACAAGCATGTCATTTTATTAGAGAGAAAAAACACACTCCTAAAATAAACACCAAAACAGTCACCAAACAGTACTAACAACTGCAAAATGATGGGCATAAAACATGTACATGAATACTGACTGCAAAGAGAGATCTAAGTGAGTACAAAGCATAAAGTCATTATTAAGCATTATTGTGTTACTCCTGGGAATATTTTAGTTAAGGTAGGAGTCAGGCACATGACTGAGAACATTACAGGCTGACCAATTTATGAGACTTATCCTGGAATCTTACTAAGTTAATAAAAAATCAAAAACCAAACTCACTGCCATTGAGTCGATTCTGACTCATAGTGATCCCTCCTTGGGTTTCTGAGGCAATATCTCTATGGAAGTAGATTGCCGAGTCTTCCTTCCAAGGAGTGGCTGGTGGGTTTGAACCTCCAACTTTCTGGTTAGTAGTCAAATGCCTTATGCACCATGCCACCAGAGCTCCCTACTAAGGTAAAAGAATTACATTAATCATGAGAGCATTAAATGTGAAATAACCCTGTCATGTGGCAACATAAGGAAATAAAATAAACTTTGGTATAAAGGAAACTCAGACATAAGCTAATAATTCAAATATTAGAATTTAGCCTTTTTTTTCCACCCCCCAGAGACATGTTAGCTAATCCCCCATCATATTTTGGAAGAGATCAGACTGGTAGAATGGCCAAGTGACTGAAATCAGGTGACTTGACCATAGAAAATTTAATATTCTGAAATTAATAATTATTTTTAGTTATCTTATCAGACATTTTCATCTCTGGTAGACTTATTTAAAAAAAAAACAGGAGCAAAGTAATACAAAATATTTCAGATAATCACACATACAAGTTTCACAATAGTGAGTTAATGGAACATGTCAATCAATGCATAAAATTACAGTACAATTTGAATAATATGTGATAACAGAGCTGTACAGTATTTTGCAACTATTGGGACTTTCCAATAATAGGAGTCACAGAACTAAATTATGTCTTGTAGGCACTGATATATTACTTACAAATTTTATTTTCAAAGTTGAATCTAGAAAGCAATTTTTCATAAAATTATGGAAAAATCTTAACTTATGAGCTTGAAAATTTTTATACATAATTCATTCATTTATATAACTCAGCAGAGAGAGGTTCTTCATCAAAAATGTAATTCAACATGGCACTCTGGCCTGTAACAATTAATTACTTGGTAACTCTTCAAAAGTAAAAGATGAGGTCCAGTTGTTCTGGTTACCTACTGCTGCTCTGACAAAAAAATATACCACCAATGGGATGGCCTTAACAAACAGGAGTTTATTCTTACAATTTGGAGGCTTTAAGTCCAAGTTCAAAGTGCCAGGCTCTAGGGCCTGGGTGAAAGCCCCTCAACCTCGGGGTCCAGCTCTGCCTCCTGCTCCCGGCCCACTGGAGCTAGAGGCGTTTCTTCACTCAGACAGCTACTGGCTGCTCAGGCTGAGAAGCCCCAAGGTTGACAAGTAAAAAGGCACAGACCTGATGTTACCAAACCACACAACAGGCCATTAACTTAAGTCCATTGTAAATCCCAAGGTCGGCAGAGCATAGCAGGTTGCTGAGCAATGACACGGCTACATGCAGAATCCAAGCATGCCATAGGCTAGAGACCATTTCCAAGGCTTCTCCTTATATACAGGAAGCAAACCACATCCCAGAGGCAGATACTCAGCTGCTTGTGGTAGATCCCACCATGGAGGTGATTTCCAGTCTCATCATGGGGAATAACTACCACCAGCTGCCCAGCCACTCAACCAGGCCCAGCCAAAGTGACACACAAACATAACTACCACACCAGTCAAGTTTGTGATTTGAGTTCATGGTTTAAATCCATCCACACTACCCATGAACCCAAAAACATAGCAGCTATGTCTCACAAAACAAAAAGGTTTCATTAAAAAACATACATAATAATGATCAAAAATAAAAAGAAACAGAAACACACTGTGGTAAAACTTTACATAAAACACTTGTCTATGAGATTCACAGCCCTAGCAAGAGACAGAGGCAGCTTAAATCTAATGTCTTCAGGGTAACCAGAGACCAAAATGGCCTCCACATAGATGGGTCCTCCAGCCAGACACTGTACAAGAAA